ATACTCAAGTAAATGTACTTAGTTACTGTCCGCCTCTGCTGATAATACGCTTCTTTGGTTTTCATCTTATTTAAGTGACAGGAAGCAGTAGGTTCAGATTAAGAATGCTCAATCAGAGCATGTTACAGGTGTTCCACAGGGGTCAGTGTTGGGTCGGCTTTTATTTATTATTTGTATGCTACCCCATTTTTTTTGCACGTATAGCATTACCTTCCATTTTTACGTTGGGTCTAGATCCGTTTTATCCTAAACTCAATCTTTCATCCTGCTTATCGATAATTCCCCAGTTAGTCCTTCCACCCAGGTGTAAAGTTTTCATGTTATATTTGATGATTTGCTTTCTTTTGGTTCCCATATTAATAATATTTCATGTACTGAATTTTTGCATTTACGTAACATTGCCCGACTCCGTCCATCACTTTCTCAGTATAGCACTGAAGTTCTTATTCATGCTTTGGTTACATCACAGATGTGATTATTGTTATTCTTTTATTTGGTCTTCCTGATAAACAACTTCATTGATTGCAGTTAATTCAGTACGCAGCTGCTAGGATTGTTACCTACTCACGTACCTCTGATCACATAACTCCCATTCTTTTCCAACTGCATTGACTTCCTGTTTGTTATTTACGGTCAAATTTACTGTCATTAAAAACTAGTTTTACCAAAAACCTACCATTTTATGAAAAATCTAATTATTTCTAACACAAAAATTTTTTGCTAAATATGTTTCCATTTTGTATTATTAGTGGTGGGGCCAGTAAAAATCTGAACTACTGGTCTGTTCAGCCCTGCAAGACTTGATTGTTTTTTCTAATTTGGAAAAAAAATTACACCTCACATATCCTTTCAACTAATGTGAATGTTTCCTCACTCCGTATATAAGGTGAATCACCTATGTGAGAGAAAGGCAACCATGCCTGTATTACACTGAAGCAAATTCACAGCATTTGTCAGCATTGGTTATCTCTAAACTAACAAGTGATTTTATTGGGGTTTTGTGCAAGATTTATTACTATTTTTATTTTTACAATTATTTTATTTTTGAACCTTATTGATTATTTTTCTTATTCACTGTGGGCTATAAGATAAAATTATCTGTAAACTGCTTTGAACAGTATTTTTTGTGAATAGTACTGTAAAAATCCATTTGAATTGAAGTGAAAATGCTTGTTTTCAGATGTGTGTGTCTACTGTTATTCTAATAGTAAGCAGAAAAAGATATGCTCATTTACTTAATACAAACTAAATACTTTCCACATATTTTAATGATTTTTTTTATTCTAGTGAATAACAAAATAGGTGATATTATCTAGATTTTAAAGAAAAAAAAATCAGTCTTTTTCATTTTTGGTTTTGTCCAGACATTTCCAAAACCGTAGTTCTTTACTGCTTTAAATGAGTTTGTAGGTATGTCCTTTCTTTGAGTCTTCTGGTTTGCCTTAATTAGGCATTTTAGGAAAATAAATTTGTTTGTTTCT